CCTTCATGAGCTGGGTATTTTTCTGAAAGTTCTTTACGTGAGGGTTCAAAAGTGTATTTTTTTTTCTTCAATAAATCCGCGCCAAGGGAATATTTCTTTGCCTTTTATCGGCTGTCTATGACACACAAACACACACTTAATAAAAACAGAACACTCTTACATAATATTAAAATATACACATCATTCAGCAATAAAAAAATCTCGTCTTCGCTTAACTAACAACTGTAAGAATCTACTGTCCGTATTCTATGGTTTTCGTTTTTAAGCTTGTAGAATAATAACGAGGTTCAAGAGTATTTTTATCAACAACTTTAATGCAATGAGTTTTTAGAGTTTCTGGTACTGGTTTTGCAACTTTAAAGAAATTTTTCAATTTCAGTTTAGATGCATTAATGTTATTTTTTATAATTTCAATAAGAATTATTTCTTTGTTTTCTGTTTTGCAATCTTGATAAAATCCTCAGCTGAACGACAAGCGCCTCCTCCCAACACTGTCGATCAAACCAGCCGTTTAACAGTACCTCCGATTCCATCAACAACTCCTTTACCGTGTGAAGTGGCAAAAAAATTCCAACTTAAATTAATTTTATGTTCATGAACAGTCTGAACAAGATTACGAAAATGAAAACGTTGTTTGAATTGACCAGCTGCTCCATCAGAGAAAAAGTTTATTTCCTTCAGATTAGGAAGAGCAGTATTAAGGTGATTTAAAATAATTTTCAAAGCTTAATTAAAATGTTACTTTTTTCAGTGACTTGCCAAAAGACTGACGAGTTTTACATGAAGATGGAGCAGGATTATTAGTTAAACGTTTAATTTTATTGGCTCGACATTTTTGTTGACAAGAATTATTTTTGGCACGCCACCGTGTTAATTCTGCTGCTGTTAACTTGGCTTTAGCTGAATTATTACGACTACGAGCTTTTTTTTCTGTTCTTCATACTTAACTTTATCTTTCTTAATTTTCTCTCAATACTTTTTCATTTTCTCGGCAGCACTTTTAGCCATTACAAAAAAGTGAACAAATCCTAAGTTACTTATCTGAAGTATAGACAATACGTAAAGTAATAATACAAAATAAAGTGGAAAAGAATTCCCGTAGCTTTTTTGTATAAGCGAAATTTTTAGATGGAAACAAAAATCACTGTGAGAACAGTCGGGTATATATAGTGTGTGAACTGACAAAACAAAGAGGTGAAAGGAAAGAGACCAATAAGTCGTACTTAAAATGAGTCCCTTTTCTCGTCTTGAGGCCTCAGATTTGCGCGTATGAGCAAAAAAAGACATCATTCAGCACAGAATTTCACGGCGATTCCGAATATGTATATATTATCGAGTTTTGAGTTAGTCACAGCGAAAACAAATAGAAAATCAACAAAGCCGCAAACTAGTAGAGATCTCTATCACTGTTTTGAGCAGGAAAGGACTCAAAGGGAGTTTAAACTTTGTGTGAGCGTTCTTCCTTATTTGTACTATCGAAACAAGCATTCAATCACAAACTAGAAAAACCATCAACAATCATGTTTTTGTCACAGCGTTACCGCTATCTGCCTCCAGATGCGAGTTTTTGGGGAAAAAAATAGAGCACTAGAATCGTCGTGGAAAGCTGGCTATAGTCCACTACTTTTTAAAATGAAATTGTGAATTAAGTTTACTAAAACTTTTTAAAAAACGTCTTTTGGTAACGCCATGACAGGCAAATTATCAAGTATTGTTTTGCCTATACCTCAGCGAGAAAGAAGCGAAAAGACTTCATTCTAGCGTCAAAAGAAAGGCCGTACTTGATAGTCTAGATACCATTGCTTATCCCTTTTCTGGAGCTAAACAGTGAATCGCACTGTCAATTTGAAAACAAGAGCACAAAAGATGTGACGAACAGGATCGTTCGTTCAAGTTACTGCGCACCGTGTAACGACTCATAGAACTCACTTGAAAAAAAAAGAAAATATATTTTCTGACACTTTCGACTATGCTCTACAACCTGGCATAAACGGTTTTGTTTACTTTTGAAAAAAATACTTAATCAGCGAAGTGTCGCGTTAGGTGGACAAACCGTAAGACGCACTCGTGGCATTTTCCTTGTAGTAAACCGGCAATTTCGGCTTTTTTGACTTTTAAAAAAGTGTTGAAAGAATAAAATGGTGAATGAAATCCACGCTACACTGACATTTCCTCTTTCTTCACACAGCGAAAGGAAAAGGAGAATACCTAGGAAGATATACGTTGTGCATGTGCGAGAAGAAATATCTTCATTTTTACTAGATGCTAATAATATCTTATTCTATCTCGTATAAAAACGACGCTTTACTCACGCTTGTTCAAATAAGGTTTAAACTAGTCAAGTCTTTTCGATTTACCAAAGCACATGCTACGACTTTACGCAGCTATGAACCTTTCTCCAAAATAACACTTTTTCTGATAATCAAAGCGCACACATAGGACATCGAGAACTACTAGTTGAACAAGACGCGTTATTTTTCTCGACTTTCGATCGTAGGTCAACCGATCTTACCCATTGAAACTTCTAAATACTTTCAAATTAATTTAAACTACTTTGGAGATTTAAAGGAATTTGAACAAATTTAAAAGGAAAGTCGTTCAGAGTAATTTAAAAAGCCTTTTTGCGTTCAAAATTAATTCGCATCAATTTAAATTTTGAATAAATATAAAAGATTCAACTTAATGCAGATTAATTTAAAAAAAGAAAAACTGGAATTAATTTCCTCTTGACCGCATTACACAAAGTCTCATATTAAATTAAGTGGAACAAATTTCAAATTTCGATTTAGTTTAAATTAAATCGAAAACTTTAAAGTAATTTGAATTAATGCTTTTCCAAAGTGTTTTAACTCAATTTAGTAATAAATCGATTTACACTAATCTGAAGAAAAGCAATTCAAAACAATTTCAATTTAAAATTAGTCTGAATTAATTTTTTCAGGTTTATCGTAGTTAATGTCTTATCAAATTAATTTAAACGAATTTGAGACTAAGGTAGTTCAAACTACTTGATAAAGATTTCAATATTTTTTCAAAACGCTTGAGAAAAAAACCCCGTAGTATATCCCCGTAGTATATCTGATATGGTTAGAGGCTAAGTTTCGCGAAGCAGCTTTTTGCGAGGAATCCAGTGGCAGTCTCAGAAATTCTTGAAAATATTTCTAAACCGAATACATTATTTTTTTTGTACAAACGAATTTAAATTAATCTGGCCTCTTAAATGAAGATGTGAAGTAATTTTTCATATTTTTTGGTTCAGTTTGAATCAATTTGAAAGTATCCAAAAATTCCAATGGTCACGGTGTATTATAGGAAGCATATGAAAACTGGGTGCATAATATTCGCAATGTTTTACGCTGTAATTTGGAATTAATTTCCAGTTTCTAAAAAAACGTTCTGGAACTTTGTGGAGCATTTTCTGGTATTTATAAAATGCTCATCGAATTCCAACTTTTTAGAAATTCGTAACTTTCCGGTTTCTAGAAAATCGATTCGATTTTCCATAAATTGTATTTTCCGTGTAGTCAGAAAATTGCTCTGAAATTTCAAAGCATATGAAAACTTGAGCTCGATTTTGTACATACGAGTTTCATTTTCTATAAATAATTCCAAAGATTTGTGAAATTCGACGTCGCATTTCTAAAAAGTAGAAAATCGAATGAGTCACTTTATCATCTTATATTTGGGCGCCTCATATAAATGGGTGGAGTTAACCACTCACGATCTAAGATAAATAGGCAGAGAGAAAATATGAAAGCTCAGAGCTGCCATTACTACCGCTGGAAATGAATTTAGGAATGAAGTGTCATCTACGAAATTTGTTGTCCTGTATATTTATAGCGTGTATAAGCTCCTTGAATCAGTAAGATTAGAATTTTAAGTGTCTGAACTATGGAACGACGACGACGTGAATCAGAAATGGAGGAAGCTGATAGACCGGGGGTAAAGGGTTAATGAAGGTTCATTTTTTGGTAGTAGTAAACTTTTCTTGGTAAAATATGTCGAATATTTCAATGTATTTCACCTTTGTTACAATCTGAACTAGTCCGCTTTGAATAGTTCCGATTAAAATTTCATTCTGTCCTATAATAGTTCGGATCAAACTGAAGTATTTTTACGGTCCCAGTTTTTAATAAAGTTTGCAAGACGTGAGATGGAAGTTGAATGCCTAGAAAAGAACTGTAAGACTTCCTGATGATTTCTGGTAGCCAACGGTTGGATTTTTTGAGAAATGCATATCAGTTGCTTGTGGTTCTACGCATGTTTCTAATTGAAAAAACAATTGATGGTAGCAGTTAATAGAGAAGCTGTTCAACAGCGATTTTCTAAATAGTTGGAAAATCGAAATCGATTTTCTAAGAAGACGACTCAGTGATTTTTTTCTTGCTTCTTTCACATCTGTTAAAGCAGAGTTTCACCGCAACTTTCTGAAGATCGCAAAGTGATTTGTTCTTGCTAATATTCCTCATTTTTATGTCTGAATTTAGCATCTTCCAAAAGTTATATTAACTCAAAGACATGATTCATGCTTTGAGTTAATATAAATTTTGGAAGATGCTAACATGTCACATTTGATCCTAACAATTCACATTTATTTTCTTTATTTTTAAATCAAATGACAGTCGTTCAACACGTGAGCGATGGCGAATTTGGTTTTCATTAGTAAAAGATCCATATTGTCATCCATTAAGCTGAAATAATACACTCACTCAACTTCGAAGTTCAATAGCTTTTATTAATGGTGAAAAAGTATATCTTCAGCCATTTTCATGCAAGTCTCTGATTATCAGCAATCTTATTCAAATTGTTCTTCCTCTCCATCTAGAAAATCCTCAGCGAGAAAGTAGAAAATAATCCGACTTTTCGATGTTCGAAAAGTCCAGGTATAAAATCGCTAAGAGTTTTCCATACATAATTCCCCACAATGTAGAAAATCGATGCCAATTTTCTACATTATTGGAAATTCGATTTTCTATAATCTGGAAAATGCGTGAGGATTTATGTATGGACTTTTTGAAAATCGCCGAGCATTTTCTATAAATAATTACAGTGTATTACATACGGAATTGAATATTATTTGTAAAATAGCTACGAGTAATAATTACTTAAGTTCCTTTGTTGAAATGCTCATTGGGATAAAAATTAGTAAATGGTATAATAAATCTGATATGTGTATTGATACTGGTACCAATAAGAAAAAGAAAATGTTTATTGAAGTGCCTTTTGTTGAGAATAGTACAAGAATGTTTAAAAGTGACTTACAAAAATTTACTAGTCAAATTCGACCGGACTCACAATTAACAATCAGTGAAAAGTCTTCCGTATCAGTTCAAAATTTATTTAATTTTAAGAATAAAATACCAAATTGCTTACAGTCTGATGTCGTTTATAACGTTCAATGTAAGGACTGTGGTTATGGAAAAACTAAACGACAAGCATATAGACGACTCTATGAATATGGATTATCTGAAGATACCTATCGTTTTCAATCTCAGTCATTATCTAGTATGAATTCATCCTCTATGCCCGCATCAACACAGTCAGTGAAAACAGCTCGAGCAGCTAAAATAAAAGCTACCCAGAAAATGACTCAGCAAGTTAAACTAATGAATGCCTCTGATCAAAAGATTCTCAAAGAGATCGATGATTATTCAGATACGAACATTAAAGATGGGAAATCTGCTCTACAAAAACATGTTGAAGATACCTCCCACACTATTGATTGGGAGAATTGGTGTATAATGGACAGGGACAAGGTTGAATATCAATTGTCAGTCAAAGAGTCTCTCTTTATAGCATCATTCAATCCTGACTTAAATCGTATTTTAGTTAGATCTGTACCTTTAACTGTGTTTCCCAACGGCCTTTCTCACAGACGGAACAAAAGGAATATTGATTCAGGCGGATAGAGAAAAGTTATAAAGAGCAAGACAAAACGACTGATAACATGATTACTGACTGACTGTCTACCCACAGTAACACACAGTATATAAAGCCAAAATTCTTCTTCCTTTTCACGTTGCTTCATATGTAAAGTAAAGTAATACTCTATAATATTCTTTGAAAATGACTCTGTGAAGAGTCGAAACGTCAGATCTTTTTTAATAAAATAAATTTCAGTTTAATCTATTGCTGCTGTTAATTTAAAAAAAGAGTATTCTAATCAGATTATTGGTTCTTAATCGTTTAAGTGATAGTAAACAAATTCGTTCAAAGATATCGACATGTATTTTTCCAATTTTTTGTGTCTTTTCTCATTCTTATGGACATTCTTCGAACTATCATGCAGATCGTTTTAATGAAATCGTGCTGAATTTACGTATATTTATTCTCTAGCCTGATTATTTAATTATCTAATTTTTGTGCTAGAAATTCTGTTGTCTCTTCTTGTCCAAATAGTTCTTTAACTTGGACGACGTCCATTCTAGACAAAGTAACAAAGAAACCGAATAATTTTTCCGTATGCCATTTCTGGCACTTCTTTTTCCAAAGTATTTTCACATCTGTTTAACGAGAAATTGATTTCTCACTTTTAGTCTTAATACCGTTAAATTTGATTATTCCAAACACAACTGAAAATGAGCTTTTTCTTCTATCCATGGTTCTCCTGGATGATTTCATGCAGTCACTTTTTACAAGACTGAGAGCCAACAAGACTCCACTATGCTAGGTTTGTAACCCGTGTCGAGTTATGTGTGAATCCACCTTTGTCTCCGACATAGGTCATTTCATAATCCATGGCCGGCTCATCAGTTACAAGGGTTGAAAATTGGCCATTTGTGAAGAACTTCTCTATTCTCTACTTCTCTATTTCAAACAGAACGGAAAATATACCCTTTGAATAAGTTTTGTGATTGAGTATGCAGTCCAAACAGAAGTTCCTTTCAGTGCGACAAATCGAAAAATATTCTTTCTCTTGATTCAAAATATATAATTATTTCTTTTCAAACAATATCGCAGAAATAAAAGACCATGGTCCTCTATACCCGCTTGCAAGTCACAAGTCCTAAGCTGGCCTTCTTACAGGGGACGGTCTTCTGTTACGGGTGGAGGTTTATCTCACATGCTCTTTCCGATAGTTACCCTCCGAAGTGTTACGAAGCTATCAGAGAACTGCAATGAGCAGTCGAAAATGGGCAAAAATGGCCAATTTTCAACCCTTGTAACTGATGAGCCGGCCATGGATTATGAAATGACCTATGTCGGAGACAAAGGTGGATTCACACATAACTCG